TTAGTCTGTAAAAATTGAGCACTATCATGAGTCGAAATCTAGTGGAGGGGCCCCTGTTATCTACATAACAGGGGATTTAAGAAATTAAGAACCACACCAGAACGTGACTCATGAGTAGAGAGAACGTTCCAGCTTTTTTGCTGCTGAAATAAGAAAATATTATAGTTGAACGCTTATAAGGCACCAATGCTTTTATATCACCAAAGGTTGAAAATATCAAGGCTATATACATATATGGCCATATATAATTAGATTTCACTACAAAGTAGAAATTGATCGGGGTCGGGAATCACTTCTGTGACCGCTTGTAGCGAGTGACAAACCACAGACATATCTTGTCTGTGTGACAAACCGTACAGTATTGCCAGTTCTTGAAATGCTTTTCAACCACTACGCTATACTATGTACTCATTATCCTAGAAGGGGCTCGAGAATCTCCTTAAAAAATATTAGATTCCGAAGTTAAAAAAGCCCTGATGATTTAAAGATGTTTCTTGTCAAAAGAAACATTGTCAATATAAACCAAAAAATCTGCTTGAAAATTGGCTACACTGAAAGAAAAGTGACAGTATTCTTGTGCAGTATTCTGACATTTATCAGATGATATCATTAGCAATTCGCGTGCCTTGTTAGGTGTAGTGCGTGTATTTTGTAAATAATTTACAGTTCCTTACTTGTTTACTTTTTAAACAATATAATTTTTTGAGTGTAGTGCCGATCGATTGTTGTAATGTGTTCATAATTTACACGTGTGCAAATCGACTTTGAATCTATTACAAGTTTTTTTATAGTTACTAATTTAACTATGAGTTAAACGACAGAGTTCACAATTGTTTAGGATATTTCGAAATCTCACACTCTTCCTGTGGGTAAGTAGACATGTTCTGCATATGAAAAATAATTACACGTATAAGGACTGTCACAAAAATTTAATTTTATTTCTGGTTAAAATTTAAGTTGTTGGGTAGTTAGTTTTTATTGACTTAGTGCTAAGGCGGCATTAGTTACGTAAACTAAATGCTCATTGGCGCGAACGTAATTGTGTTTAAAGATTTGGACAAATTAGGGTGCGTCATTTTGTCCTAAATCTTCACTTTTATTATGTTTGTAGGTTTACATTATCAGTGTATTTGTGTGTATAAATTATGATTATTGAATCCTGGGTAATTTTAATATAATCTTAAACATGCGAGAACTTAACTTTTGTTTTGATTTTAATTGCATGGGTATTGATAATTTTATATAAAATCTACACATTTCAAAGCGCATAGTGAAATATTAACTGGCATCATTCGCTCTAATGCATGCATTGGCAATGTATCTAATAATTATGTTTCAGAATTGAATAATCATGCTTTTCTTACATGTAAATTGAAAATCAAAAAGTTCAAGTTGCCATTAGACATTTAAAAAATATATCTATAGATATGGAAGCTTTTAATTTTGCTGTTAACTCTTTCACACAAAATAGCCTAGAGACATTTGTGATGTGATGTTGATTGTATGCTTGGGTTACTTGCACAATGAAGTAAATCACTCTCATTCAAGGAGTAAAATACTGAATATAAAAAAAATATACACATGAAAACTTTAAATAAAGTCTTCAAAAGCATTGTCAAGTTGCTATTCAAAGTGAAATGTATATGTATTTTAATAAACATTAATGTTTATGGAAAATCACTGAACTCTTTGGACAAATAATTAGAAAAAAAAACATAACCTAAGCAACCATGGCCCTATTAAACAACATTTTCTTGATCTACTTGGCAAAAACGATTTAATTTAAATTATTTTAATGCAACATTTTTGTCTTAGGATTTTTACATTGAAACCTATTTCTGAACCAGTGATGTTTAACATCATGAAATTTATTACCTCAAATGCTCAAAGTAAAATGGTTTAAATTTGAGTATGATTTTTTATCTTTGCTATGTACATAGTCGATAACTACAACAACAGATACCAATCACAACTGGTGTTTTCCCTGAACAATGTAAAATAGTTATTGTAAAATCGGTACCCAAAAATATCAAAATAAACATGAAGATCTTTGGATAACAGGTATACTCCAACTTGTGTCATTAATTTTAGAGAGAATATAAGTCCTAACCTGACCTATTATTCCATTGGTATTGAGTATCTACTCAGTGTGAAGAAAGGTGGTTAATAAATTAAACCTTTAACCTGTGAGCCCTTATTTTCATTTTGATATGAAAGCCAATTTAACATATAAATACAAATTTCAACCAAACAATGGACTTCCTTTACACTTTTTTGTTGAATGCGTAAGATGTCAGTTGCGGTCAGGCACTGCAGGGCATTGCCTATACACAGATGATGGAGTTTATTCAGGCATATAACATGCTGCCAAAGAAACAGTCTGATAATAATTAATATACTCAGTAGCGTACTCTGTATTAGTATGTATTTTAACAAAGTAGTGGAGTAATTTCACAAAACATTATTGAATGTTGTGGTAGTAAAACATTGTGATGTTCAATAGAGTCAATTGCTTTTATTGATGTGGTGGATAATAAGTTGCACAAGCGTCTGTTTGACAATTATCAAAATCAAGAGTATATTCTTGCTGTGGGTACATATTATATTCTATTGTAATATTTGTGTTGGTTTATTATGTATGTATATTAAGTATGTTTATATATTATTCGTATCTCTCTTCTCTCTTCTATTAATTTCGTTCTTCTTTATTTTATTGTAGAACCAACTATTGTTTTTTTTTCAGTTTGTCACAATGGTTGACTGGTGGAAGGATTTATGACATTAAGTCCTCCATTTATACTTCCATGTATTGTGCAATAAAGTTTAAATAAATAGTAAATAAATAATCATAAAAAATAAAAATCATTTAATGCAGACAATTTACAATCCATTTTGTTAGTACATTTACAAGCTATCTGTTCTATTGTTAGAACAAAAGTTATTGAATAAAAATAAAGAAAATAATATGAATGAATGGATGAGCGATTGATGATTACAGGATACCTGCTAAGTTCACCGCGCTCTCAGGATGTGAAGTTCGGTGACCTAGCAAGCAGATCGGAGCCCCACCTATCCCCTATCATTTTAAGAACTCTTGTGCTCTCAACACGAGATGTTACCGAAGGAATTTTGATATTTCTAGATTTTCCTTTCACACCGTAATTACATTTTAAATAACCATGGCTGATCATTTTTGGGCAAGGATTTTAATATACTTCTTTAACTATCTCCCGTTTTGTGTATTACAAAGAACATTCGTATCTTTTTGATGCAAACGTAAGTTTTACCGGGAGAAATATGTGTCAGACAAACACACCAATTTATAAAAGTACATATCCCCAAACTGGTCCTACCGGGAATCGAATCCGGAACCTTCGTATCCAGCGCCCACAATCTAAACCGTTACGTCAACGAGGTTGTCAAAGTAAACTGATACGCCATCTTTTACGCGATCTGCTGTCCTCGTTCTTGGCCAAAACGGCGGGATCGCTAGAACATTGATACTTTCCGATAATGGACTTCAAGAGCGTTACACTCGGCGACTTTTAGCAGCGATGCAAATGCGATGATCGATGCAAATCGCGCGTTTGTATCGATGCAATCGCGCGTTTGTATCGATGCAATCGCGCGTTTCTATCGATGCAATCGCGCGTTTGTATCGATACAGCCGCGCGTTTCTGTCGATGCAATTTTGCAACATTTTTATCATCAAAATAAAAAGGAAAACCTTGACAATTACCACGCAATATCATGGCGCTCTTTGACCGGTGATTCGTCATCTCAGATGAACAATCGGTCAAAGGGCGACTTCCATTATCTACAATAATAGAGAACAAATGACGCTTATTTTTAATTATAGTGTTCATGTGCTTTGTGGTTATACTATCATATTAACTACGTAGTTTTTAAACAGGCTCTCTGTTTTAACAAAGACTGTCTTTACATATTTTTTGCTATCCGGAACTGATATCAGTTTGCGTTACGTAAAAACTATTTAGTAATTATTATGTGAGACCCTGAAACTGGTCTTGGCGAGTTTTTAAATAGGTACACCATTACGAAAATTGGTAGAGGCCAATATGTGTATATTGTACAGCACAGATAATATATAAAAATTAACGCTCTTTTTGTTATCTACTCCACTATAAGTTTCGCGGACTCCGCTACTAGTAGGGCTAGCACGACAGGGCGCGACTTGCGCGATAGCGATGTAAAGCGAGAGACATCTATGCGAGAATAGCAGTATTTATAACTATATAACTGCCTCCGTAGCCGAACGGATACCACGCCGGACTGCCACGCAGAGGTCCCAGGTTCGATTCCCGGGCCGGGAGAAATAGTTGTATGGCCTACAATTATTTCTCTCGTGAGTTTGGGTGTAATTTGTGGTTGTCTATGTGTGTGTCCATGGCACCCGCGACACAGGGTTTCCCTAGTGCGGGGCTATGTTGAGTGTGTGCGTTATTTATTTATTTATTTCGCGCTTCATTTCGCTTTCGCACAAGTAGCGCCCTGTCGTGCTAGCCATATAGAACACACAACAAACGCAAAAAGCTCAATTAGTCAATTACAGCCTTTCCGGTGGAAAGTCTGGGCAAAACTCCTCGCTGAACAGCTTTCAGTTCGCCTCGTTGAAGTCTCTGCTGACTAGAGGGCTGGCAGCTGTTATAACATTAGCCACCTAAAGATGAAACCCTAGATGAAATGTTTTACATTTAATTGTAAGAGTTTAAGGTAGAAAAGGTCATTACGTAAAATATGAAAACATATATATACATATATATATATATATCAGCAGTAGAGCTCCTTGTGAAGGAGTTCGTCCAAGAAAGTGCTGCCACCATATCTATGTATATCTATCGCCAAGCAGTAATAATGTGAGCATTACTGCGTTCCGGTTATGAAAGTTAAGGGTGCTTGCTGATGAAATTATAATAATGCTGATGATGATAAGGCTGATTTGTCTCAGGGTGACGGGCGCAGTGGCAGTATTCCTCTGATCTTTACGATCTGTCATCTGTCAATTGACAAACAAATTTTCCGTCCGTCTACAAATTTTCAAACCGTCAGCAGTGGCAACCGTTAAGCGCGACGGGAATTGAGCGTGCCTACTGCTCCAGTACCACCACCTAAGGCACTAACTAGCCTTACAGAGAACCGGAAAAAGTACGTGCAAATGGACTGATCTAGGGTCTCATATAAGACCTGACGTAGATGGTCCTGGTAGGACCAGGGAACTGGTAGTGCCCTTGCCGTATAACCAAGAGGTTGATAAGGAAGGGCTCTATAAACAAACCTTATATAGAAAGGTATGGGATTGTCCCGTCAATTGAATAGCATGTCGTGATCAATACATAAGATGTTATATAACTGTATTTATATGTACAAAACACACTCACTTTAGTATCTCCGCCGTCGTGGGATAATGCAAAGCACATGCTGAATGATGATGAGACCTCGTGGCACATATCTCAGCTATCGTCCACCTAGGACGTCTTTGACAGGGCAAGAATTAATAAACGAATCTCCATGCAAAGGTTGTTGTGAGTGGTGAAAGTGGTATTCAAGTAATCTCTGCCTCAGTTGGACTTCACTTGTTGACTAATATATTTTAAATACGCGTCGTCTCACTTATCGTTTAAATATGTACTCTGTCATTCATAGATTATCCGGTTATTAATCGATACCTATGTTTTGTTGTATTATGATTATGGAATAGTATTTAAATAAATGTACAGATAAATCGTTACGTCAGAACGCATACTAGGTAAAAAAATTGCAGTCAAAGTGACCGTGTTGTCGGGGACGGGACGAACAAGTCATGCGCCTGATGGTAAGCTACACGCCTGTCCATAACAGTCGCAGTGCCAGTCTGAGCTTTAAATCGTAAAGTTCTGAGGGGCACTGCCACTGCGCCTGTTACCCTGAGACGTAAGTTAACAAATCCTATGTGCCTGTAATTTCACCAGCAACCTTACCCTTCAAAACCGGAACACAGTAATGCTGACATTACTGGTGGCTGAAATAGGTAAGGTGGCAGTACTTCCCTAGGCGAACTCTTTCAAAAGAAGCTCTACTACTACTAAATATATATTTATTCCATAGGTAACATTTTTATATTTCAAGACGTCATTTTTTAGGCTATTGCTCATTCACTGTGCTGACTTCCCTGAGAAGAACGAGCAAGAAACTCTAGGGATTGTTCTTTTCAATTACACTTTGAATCATATTTGTGTGGAATCTGGGCTCGTGTCGTTTTTCCGTACATTTTTATCTAACATGTAGTCTTCAATTTTGTAATATGACTTTTAAATGAAAATACTTTTAATGTAAGTTTTGAATTTAGGAAATGGTAATCTTAATATATGCTCCGGAGTCTTATTGTAAAAACGTATACAGTTCCCCGTAAAAAAATCGTTCACCTTTGTTAAACGAAACCAAACACAAATTCTAACAAACATTTAAATACATATAAAAATGTAAATTATAATCACAGAAACAGGAAAATTTACAATTTAATGTTTTCTTTTTGTACAAGGAAAAAAATTAAACACCTTCGTGGGTGCTTAATAAAATGGTTATTAGGATTAATTTAAATTGCACTTATAAAAAAGTTAATTTTTTCTTACATAATATACCTATGTACACTTGTATTTGGTGGTTTCGGCACATGGAGCGTCTGATAACGAAAGCAGAGTGGCAAGAGAGGTACCTATATAGAGCTTTTGGCTAGACGCTTGCTTTAGTGGTTTTGAATAGAGGGAGAAAGGGAAGAAATTGGTAATCCTTTGGGATTGGAAACGTATTTGTTATGTAGCGATTTTACATGACAACTGAGAGTAAAAAAAAAAACGTCAAAAAGAACACAAAAATGAATAAAAGCAAACTATGCAAAAAGTATGCGCTCGCGCACAAGAGCCAACGAAGGACGTTCTCAGATCAAATCTAGAATGTTCTAAACAAGGCTATAGTGCGTAGTGAGAAGAATAGGAGGGCTTGTATTGATGAATGTAAGCACGAGAAGTTTGCCAGGATCGTGTAAAGGGGAATGGAAATCCAAAGGGTAGGTTGAGTATATGAATGTTTTGTTTACTTCGACCTATGTGTACAGTCACGTTTTGGTTAGTTCACATTGGAATTTGTTAATCTTTTCCTTATTAGATAGATGTCTGTGCTAGATACCTGTGGATTTTGTTATCGTTAGTACATAGAGCAACTAGCGCGTGTTCCATATAATATTGTCTATTTATGCGTGCAGTCGAGAGTTCAACTGCAAACGTCGTCGGCTGAAGTTGATGTGTTCGAGAGTCTAAAGTAGCTGTTGACATTGTTAAGAAAATATAATGCTTTTTTGTGCCTAAAACAACTTGATCTTTAGTAGTAACAGCAACAGATAACGGTCACTTGAGTATTTAATCAACTTAATTGTAAAATAAAAACACAATTGGTGAATTTTTTTTGACGGGTTTATATAATGGCACATTTTTGTACGCAAATTCCACCGCAGAATATAGTCGGGGACTATGGATGCCAATTCGTTGACAAAATTAAATTCGGGATTTTCATAGTGATATATTTATTTCCTTAATAGGAAGTAAAGTAAGAAAGAAAGTCGTCAACAGACAGATGATTGGTGTCAAATTGAAATTAAATTATTTTTTTGAACATTAAATTATTATTAAACTAATTATTAAAAAATGTACGCGATTCTGACCCGAAAAACTAGTTTACCATTTTCAATGTCTTTTAATCGTGAAAACGTTAAAATTCAGAAAACAATATCTAAACATGTCTAATAATAAATTCAAATTTTCTACCATTAATTAGGCGAGGTAGAAAATGGAGGACCGCCGCCTGGCTATCGGGCTGCGCCTGTAGTAGCACGACAGGGCGCGACTTACGCGAGAGCGACATAAAGCGCGATATACTGTTATACTCGCATAGACTATTATCCGCTTTATGTCGCTCTCGCGCTAGTCGTGTTTTGTCGTGTTAGCCCTACAGACGATTTAAAATATAATCTCTAAAATATAAAGAACTGATTGCCGAGTTTCCATTCTTGATATGGCGTATTTTGTGTTATCACGTGATTGATTATTATTAGTATTAAAAATATTAACAAATTAAACGTGGAAACAATAATATGGTCGCAGACACGTACGGAATTAAATTAATTCTTTAATGAAAACATTTGAAATCTTATCTTATTTACTACTTATTCTAATACATGTCATTGTAGGATAAATTTCACATTATTTGCCGTTTCGCTGCGATATCTGTCAGTGCGTATATGTGTATATTTTGATTTTAAAATAAATTACAAGAAATGGAAAATGTTCAAGACGCAGGTACGGCTTCTGAGATATATGTCTTTTATTGCACGAAAAGAAAGATTTGTGATTCTACAGCAACACGAGATGTAACGAACTTATTACCATGTCCTTACATTATAGAAGTTGTTCGTTTTTTAGAAAGTCCAGCCCGAGGCGTAAGTCAGGGTCAGGCAAAAGACGGCAAAGCAAAAAAGGAAAAGAAGAAAATGAAGGCTACGACCAAAAGTGCCCTGTTAATGGGCTTCGGCGCGTTCGGAGTGCTGCTAGGAGGAATCACGGTGATCCTCTGGCCTGGAATATTTACGTCCTCTTTGAGGCGGGTGAGTTATTTGTAAATCAAAGCAAATACGGATTACGTAGGTAAACATTTTTTTTATCTTGTTTTTAAATCGTAAAGTTCTGAGGGCCATTGCCACTGCACCTGTCACCCTGAGACATAAGTGGGCAGTCCGATGTGCCTGTAATTTCGCCAGCACCCTCACCCTTCAAAACAGGAGTTCAACAGGAACCCTGGACGAACTCTTTCACTAGGAGCATTACTGCCACTTGTTTTCTTAGATGATTTCCATAGCATACAGTCGACCAGACTTTGCGCATGAGTAAAATAATGTATTTTGAAGAGTTAGCACTATACATCACAACTCAGGCTGTGCGTCCGATCTCTTACACCTCTTACAGCGTGTAAGATAATGGGTTTGGATGATTTGCTAGTCGATGTTAACAGAATAGCTTTTAGTTTTTTCGTAATGTCAAAACGGTCTGGCATTTGTTTTTCTATTCACGTAAAACAAACAAACAACTTTCACAATAAAAAAAATCATCAAGGTACAGAAATTTGACCCGTTTCTACATGACTATCGATTGTACCATGGGAACTTTCCCAAGTCCCCATCAAACATTTGAAGACCTCGTGGCAAGTGTACTGTAATTTCGATTGTCATTTCGTAATAATCCAAATTTAATGTCAATGACTTCTTACCTAAGGATTAAATTTGTTTTTAATGATCCGTTTATATTAAGGCTTATTACGATAATGAATTGCTGGAGCACCGACGTCGATTAGCAATTATGTTATTATATACATTTTTACATGAAAGTGATTTAAAGGACAGTTTGTGTATGATCTTAATAACTTTGATTCCCTCGGGTAATTAAGGCGTATTTCAACGCGGAGAAAATTTGACACAGATCCGTCCTCGACAAGCGCCCGATGGCGACTGACGGGGTGACGGACGGCGCGGCGTGTCGTTAAACCTCTAGGCAATTTGCAAATTTTGTGACAAATGTGAATTTAATAACTATAAGGCTTTAGTTGAAAACCAAAATTTCCCATGTTCTCTTTAGTCCTTAAAGAAAAATGTTTCCATATAAAAATGATGTACAAAGTTAGATATTTTGCTCTTATATAATTCGTTTTAGACTTTTATTTTCAGGATTTTATATGATCGGGTACATCCTATCATGTTATACATCCTAATTTGTTAATTAGCACATTATTTAGAACCTTAGGTGTATCGTAAGACCATTATTTAACAATAAATACCTAAACCATTTTGATCTAGTAAAGTCAGTTTTCCTCGCTTCTCCACTGTTTAATGATTATGGTCATTTTCAAACTATAGAAAACATAAAGATGTCAAGGCTTAATTAGTACCGTGATTAAAGTGTAAGTGCAATAAATAGTGGCAATTTGCATTCTTAGAGCTTAAAATGTTTCCGTTCACAGTAAATTCAATTTCAAAGGATGATGACCGTTACTGCCCTCATGTTACTTAGTATGTCCAACAAAATCATATTTTTAATTATGCTAATTTTTTTTTATGATACTATGTGGCGGGGCGAACAGGTCGTGCGTCTGGTGGCAAGCGACACGCCTGTCCATAATTTAAATCGCAAAGATCTTATGGGCACTGCCACTGCGCCCGTCACCCTGACACACAAGTTGAGGAGTCCCATGTGCCTGTAATTTCACCAGCAACTACATTTTCGATAATAGTCTCGAACCGATCAAAACAACAGTCTATTTTGAATGAAAAGAAGTTTGTGTTTCTGTTGCATTACCGGTTTAGTATTAATAGTGACGAAAGGTGGCAGATATAATAATGTGCTCACTGTTGCCAGATGGTGTGAACTGCAATATACCTTATTAAAAAAAAATTCGAAGAGATCACAACTTGGCGGAAAAGCTTCCCTACTTTTTCCAATATACTTATATACGGACGGTAATTCAATAAGTTGTTCGATTTAGAATAATAACGCATAGAAACCTAGTCCGCACACGCTAAGTGAGGCAAATTGAAGCGCTCCCAATGGGCCTACACGAGCGGGCGGGCCGTCAGTGCTCAAGGTCAACTTGCACCGCGAACAGCTCAAGAATTTTAGCTAAAAATGACGAAATGTGCGGTAAATGAGTGTAAAAATACGTCAGATAAACATAAAATAGATACTAACATCACATTCCACAAGGAAGTAACGCGTTTCAACTTGTATTTTTATATAAATAATCACTAAAACCGAAAATTAACCTTCTACTAAACCTAGCTTACATGACAGTTCGTTTAATATGAAACTATCATTCTATGCGTTATTATTCTAAGTTGTTCGATATATTAGACCGTTATAGTTTAGGAAAAGTAGTTTTTTGTTAGTATTAAATATATAAAAATTCGCTGTGTTAAATGAAAATCGAGAAATAGATTCGGAATCTAGGTCTTACGTGCTTTAAAACTTTTGTGTAGCTTATGGACACGTCAGTTTAAGGTAAGAGCATGCCTTCATAATGCACCGGTCGTCGTCCATCTTTATTTAATAGGTAAGCAAATTACACGTGAAATCGTGACATTGATTAAACTGTACTCTCATTAGTTATTCACCTGAGAAGAATGAGTAAGAAATTCTAGGGTTTGCTCTTTGTAAATAAACGTTTGTACACATTTATCATTGACAATAAATATTTTAAATATCACAGATCGACGCAATCCTCTAGAGACTACTACGAATTTTTTTTATGCACATACAAATTTTTGTCGTCCAAGTACGCAGAAGCTGTATAATAGTAATCTTTTTAATCGACTTTAAAAAAAGAAGGAGGTTCACAATTCGACTGTAAGTTTCTTCGGCATTTGTGAATCTTTGTTTTGGAAAGAGGGTACCTCACTAGTGGTCTTATCTTATTCGTAACCGGTAACCGATTTTCTTTAACTTTTCGGTAACCGATATCAATAAAATATGGCAAATAGATGTAGGTAATTCCACGAACTTTTGAGGTCGGTTTTTTTAGTAGTCTGTGCTGAGATTATGTTATATAAAGTTTTTATTTCACTATAGCTTTAAATTTGTAAATAGCAAATTTAAAATGTCAAGCGTAATCTTGTTGTAGAAGCGTTAGAAATGTGTAAACTTCACGTAAGTTGAAAAGACTATTATGTTATAATTATTAATACAAAGATAGAACATTAAAGCTGTAAACAGATTGACTGCATGTTTACAGTTAAGGCGTGAAGTCGTTATCGAGTTCACGCATTACCAACAAAGAAAAAGAAAAAAAATCCTTCAAACCATGGCAGACGCTATGGAAACTAAACACGGGGCGAACCGGCTAACCTCACGAATTTTTCTGTGCTGGTTGCAATGTTTGTTTTTTTTAATTATTAAACAAATAATAAAAAACAAATAAAACTATTATGGTGCGAGTCCGTGCTCTAATGCAAACGGTTTCCCACGTAGACTAGAATTAACCATGCTTATCTCAAACTTTGTTTCAGATGATGGTCCTAACAAATAGCTCAATGTCGTATGGAATTTGGAAAGACCTACCAATACCAATGTACCTAGAGTGTCACTTGTTCAATATCACAAATGTAGAAGAGTTGTTGGCGAACAAATCAGCCAAAATCAAAGTGGAGGAATTGGGGCCCTATGTGTATAGAGAGGTACATAAAAAGGTTGGTTTGTTTTCTTTTTAAGTGTAATATAAGTTTTATTTACCTTCCATGTCAGGGCGCTAAATGAAGAGGTTCCGGGTTCCAATTCTGTCAGGACTAGTCCCATATCTCTCTGCATAATTTTTGTTTATAGTGACCATCCTTATCAACGGCTTGGTCATACGGGAAGCAAGTCCGCCTAGACAGGTCATTAGCGCGAATTAAATTTAAAAAAGAACTTTAACTTTTAAAATGTTACTGTTTATAGTGATTTTAAAAATGATGTTTTACCGCGTATTTTAAGATGAGTGGGAAAGTTTTCAGTTTATAATTGGACGTAGTTAAACAAAATGGAACCAATGCACATCCGATCACTTTCGAGATACCTATGGTAATTTGAAGTTTATAAGTGTTTCTCACTCTTGTTTTATTTTCAAAACTAATAATGTCATGTAATTCCATAGATATTTATTTATGTTTATATGTTGGATTTTTTTGCTGATCTAAGAGGTTAGACTTTAGGAACCGTTTGATACATATAACACACAGACAGTACTAACCACTGGGCCAACGAGGGCACCAACTTTTCAAACATTATGCTTACATTTGCGTTGTCTATGTATTCGTGTTACGGCCGTTTCGTTGTGAACTATACTTTCACACAGTTCTTTCGCGTGTCGATAATTCGGTGAGAAATATGTGTGGTTTATTTGATCGCGATTGTGGAGAATGTGCAATAAAATAGAAGCTTCAAGTTTTAGAGGTCATTGGAATCGTTATTATACGCATATGCGTCTCCTTAACACGGATCAGGGCCCTGATTTTAATTCACCTGCAATATTATACGCCTCGACTCGGAAAACACGCAGTATCCGATCGGGAGAGGTAATTAAAATCAAGCTGCTTATCTATAAAGTTGACAGACTACGTAATAGGCTTATTTACTGACAGTCAATTATTAATATAAATACATTAGTTAATTTTTTGTGTGTGTGTGTGTGTTATGCGATTGCTCTGTCATTTGTGAACCGATTTAGATGATTACTTTTTGTTGGAAATAGTGTACCGCAGTATTGGTGGTCCCATTTCAATTTGAACCAAATATTCCACCTCTAAGGGTGGCAAACTAGGGTATGAATCCGGTTGCACACACTTTCCGGTAACCGATTACAAAAAGAGTTCGTAAAAATATGTACGTACAGCCAAGTGCCAATAATTACTACGGGAGGAGACTTAATAAATATATTGTTCCTCGTTAATATGTATAATGATATGTCGTTTTTACGAAAAAGTCCTTTATGTAGTAAACAAGTCATGAAAACAAGATTAAAGAAGGCGCTAATGAGTGAAATTATATTTATATGAATATATCCAAATTCTTATTAATTAAAAATCATGTAAAACATATGTTTTTTTTTTTTTTCACTATTATAAGTAAGTAATAAACTAAGTAGATATGTCAAACTAACAAATAAGTAAACTAAGTTAGAGCGTGCTCGCCAACAAACTGTTACAGTTTGGCGGGAATTATAATTTGTAAATTTGTTACTTTTTTTGGAAAATAAATTAAAAAAAAAAAGATTTCAATAAAACTTTGCAAATAGATGTAATTCCACAGTCGGTTTAAAAAAAATAAATGTAATAAAACGAACAAAATTGAACAATATACACAGTGGGATGTCTATAATTAGTTTGTACCTTCCGCCTGACTGTCTATATCCAAACAGACTAAAAATTGTTGTCTTCAAATGTTTGTACTGTAGAGAAATTCTTACTTCGCTTTAAAGAATGTTCACCACTGTTGATTTTCATCACCCAGGTGAACATAGTGTTCAACGACAACAACACAGTGACGTATCAGATGGAGCGGTTCTGGCACTTCGAGCCGGAGATGTCAAACGGGTCGCTTTCTGATCTCATCACCTCGATTAACCCTATTGTACCGGTGAGTGTTACAACTCCTTAATTTTGCAGCTGTCCATTTCGTGACATCCTAATTCAATTAGTATTTAATGTGTAGTGCATTTATTGAAAACGTTTCCATTAGACATGGTTTGGTTGCATCCACCTTTCAATCTCTTTTCAAATTTCTAACTCAAGGTTGCCTGAAAGAAATCACTATTTTGCAATAAGACCGCCTGTTGTACATTATCTTATTGTGTGATACTTACATTACAGATCTGTGTTGTCATTGTATTATTTTTATTATAAGGAATATTTTATTCATTCATTGAAATTAAAAACAATTTTATTTCATGTAAAATCAAATTGTGTGGACATGAGCGTAGCTTACGATCAGGCGCACGACATGTCCGTGTAATCACATTGTTCGTGTACACGTGAAATAATCACATTGATTTTAAAAACTTTCTGGGGAAATGCCTTACAGCTATATATATTCTATATACATATAGAACGTGTATTCTAGTTCAATTTATGGGTATGCCGTTCTGATCGACTGCAAACTCGACCATGTAAAATTGCTCTACGCCAAGGGAGTGTTTTTGCAATGGCCTCAGACATCTACAACAAACTTCTAAGTAAAAGGAATTACAAAATTGTGTAGAATTTTAGAAATCGTTTGAGATTTTTTTTTCAATATTTATTTTTTACATTTTATTTGCAAATTTTTTCCAAACTCATAGTTGCACATTTTTGCCGGATAAAGATTGTATTAATGTCGGCGGCATTACCTCAAAGCAAAATGCCGTATGTAATGTGAAAGTAGCTAAAGTAAACCAATCTATCGGTTTCAATCGGGTTCACTGCATCACTATGCAATTTAGCATGTTTGTAAACTTATATTAATTTTTCCATTTCGAACTGTGATGCTTGTGACTGTCTGGTTTTTAAATTTATTTTTATAATATCAAGTGCTGAACGAACAATTCGTGCGCCTGGTATTAAGCGACACGCCTGTCCATAACCGTTGCAGTGCCACTCAGAGCTTTAAATCGCAAAGATCTTAGGGGCACTGCCATTGTGCCCGTCACCCTGAGACATAGAATATATAACCTTACCTAGTATGTAAAAAATGTATAAAAGAAATAGAGACGAAATGTCATTTAATTTGTTTGAAAACTATTCTGCCAAATCATTACGGTGACAACTGCGCTCCGATTGGCCAGCCCGAATTGGTAACAATTGACAGGTGTTAAACGACCAGTTTGAACTTGAGCTTTGCTATAATGGACCTAAATTGAAAAATTACATATTTAATTCTTAGCGATGAAATATGTCTTATTACCTACAGACGATAGCGCACATCGTCCGCTATCAACGCGCCGCTATCCGCTTGGCTGCGGACGTGTTCATGCGGCTGTACCACGAGCACATGTTCATCACCGCTAACGCCTCTTCCTGGCTCTTCGACGGCATTGACGATCCGATTCTCAAAACTGCCCACAAGATACCTGACTTCCCTATATATATACCTTATGATAGGTTTGGGTGGTTCTATGAGGTGAGTACCATTTTTGTTTATTAAATCTTTTGCTAATTTGTTTGCGCTCAAACTCTTCCATCATCAGAAAACCCTTGGTTGCCTATGTATAGAGTCCTGTTTTCAATTTCCCCCTGGGTCAACATTGCGAGAAGGAAATGCGTAAAAAAGTTTCTTCTGCACAGCAGATGTAAAAAAAACAAAACATCAGAGTTACTTTATTTACATGAAATGTAATAAAAATACGGAAATATAACGTTGGCTAAAGTTGTAAAGCTCCGACCTCCATTAATGTGAACTTTTGAGTAGGCACAAAAAAACAGAATTACTAGAAATAATTATGCGATAATCTATGATTATACTTTTATTTAAAAATAAAAGAAGGTCTTGAAATTATATTTCAAGCTTAAATTTCCGGATATTGCGCGTGAAGATTAAAAAACGGATTTCCTTCAAAAACGGAGTTAAGAGGTTTAAAAATTTAGCCGACGATAACATTGACTTACAATTATATGGACGTCGGGTCCGCCCTAAAAAGTGTCCGAACTTATAGGGCGTTAAAATCGTATACAGAGCGTCATTCACGCTTTAGTCTTTGTTTGTTCGACTGACAGCGAAGCAAGCAAAATTAGACAGTACTGCGATGACATTACAATTTAAATTCAAAGTTTTAGCTTTTTCATATTCCTTTACATGTCACTACGTTTAAATAGGTTGACTTGGGACATTTTTGTCGTGGTTTTTGTATTAGACCCGTCGTCCATTTATTTGTAAGTCAATGGACGATAAGTATTTTGTAGTTCCTTATGTGTTCTCGTATTATTGATCCGATTTTATTGAATAAAAGAAATGCGCATCTGACTGCCATCTCACCTGATGGAAACTGATGATGAGGTTGACATCTAAATAATGCATATTCACTTTCGTCTTGAAAAGGCCAAAGTTATAGCGTTCAGGGAATAAGAACGCGGGCAGGGAATTCCACTCCTTAGCCGTTCGCCATATAAATGTGGAAGCCAAATGTTCCGTGCGAATCTTTGGAATATCCACAACAGCTATATGGCTGTTTACATTAAAAACAGAAAATGTAAATACTTTAATGACACACGCTGTAATGAAATGAGCAAAACCTGAGTGGAACTAAACAATGCATCGTCTAAAATAAGTATAATAAAACGTCAAATTGATATGCCTTTGTGCATATTGACTGCAGACCTATAACAATGAGTTCATTGCTTGATAACAGCTGCAGATGACAGCAAATGATAAGAGTAAAAAAGAGGTTAGTGGTCGCAGCACTCACTATTTTGCAGAACTGTTTTTGATTAATGCGTGCTAAAGCGGAATTGTCGCTACACTATTGCAAAAACAAATAATATATATAGAAGAGCCAATACTTTTATTAGTTACAAATTTGGAATATCAGGTTTATAAAGGCGTGTTCCTTTGGTAAAAAAATAAAATATTTTGATGTTTCATGTTCGATTGAAAATTGAATGTGATTGTACGTGTTAGTATGTTCAAAATATCACAGTTGGAGGTTAGCGAGGTTAGATTCGATAAAGTCGCTATTAAAAACATTAAAAATGTTAACATTTCTCAGCTAGCACATCTCGAAATAAGCAACATTTTTTTGTAACAATAAGAAAAAAAAAACAGAATTAGTTTCTTGTCTTAATGGATTTATTCATTAAAAGTTATTTATATGCGTCTTAGATAATATTAAAATTTATTACCGTAATAAAAATAAGCAATATAACCAATACAAGCCGAGACATTTATGAGGTTTTCCACTATCTATGAGCCTAAGCTATTGACCTTATACAACATTTTTCAAGGTTTATATGATTTTGTTTTTTATATGTGCCAATTTATGTATCACATGTGTCAACTTCAAAATTTTTTAATACAATAAACGAAATACAAAATAATAAATAAAACAAACATGTCAATAGCTAGAGAAGACTAGGGAGTTCATAGCTCTCGCTGATATTATTTCCATCGTCCAAAACAACAAATTTTTACAAACCTAAACAAATATAACAATTAAGTTACAAGTGAGTACTTATAGAAGTTTACTTATCTTTGTGTCATATTAATGTCTTCTTAAATACATGAATAATAATAATCACACGCACACTCAACATAGCCCCGCACTAGGGAAACCCTGTGTCGCGGGTGCCATGGACACACACTCACAGACAATCACAAATTACACCCAAACTCACGAGAGAAGTAAACGTAGGCTATACAAATATTTCCCCCCCGCTCAGAAATCGAACCCGGGACCTCTGCGAAGCAAACCAAAATGGCACCGGAGTTATCGCGTAACATATATACAAAAAAAAAGAAAAAGAAAACATACAGTCGGTTAAAAATATAACTATATAAACGCACCAAATGCTGACAGTTTTTTAAGGAAATTTGGATCAGGTACATACTGCTAATGAGGAAAATGACACATGTTTGAATTTTTCCTTAAATCAAAGCGGAAGTGGTCAGTTTAAAGTGTAATATGTATTTTAATTGTTTTTGAAAAGATAAGAAAAAACAAGTTCTGTTCAAACTTTTGCTTTTAGATATTTATGCCGTCGGGGATAGAGCCATTCCGTGTAACTAGCATTGGATAATTCCGCGAATCTGAAACATGTAGCCAATTTGAGTTTTGCATGCTGGTACACGTAGTTATATGATTGAGACCCGGCTGCTTCTTAACGCCAATTGCGATTGACTAACAAAAAGAAAGAAATCGGTGAATAACAATATGCCTTTGTTTTCAATACCGCGTAACTTACTCAGTTTGTTACCAAATCAGATCCGCGTAAATGACGTGGCAAGTAAATTAATTACGGGAATCTATTGTTAGCAGTACGTAGCAAGTATAAATTACCGCTTACTGTGACAAAACTAAAGTTGTAGCAATTGAAACATCGAGTACACAACCAGAAATAGAGACGAAATGTCATTTAATTTGTTCGAAAACTATTCTGCCAAATCATTACGGTGACAACTGCGCTCCGATTAGCCAGCCCGAATTCGAAACAATTGACGGGTGTCGACCAGTTTTGTTAAACTGTTGGTCATGTTTGGGCTTTGCTATAATGGACGAAAATTGAAAAATTACATATTTAATATTTAATTACCGATGAAATGTGATTCCGTTTGTTTTGTAATTAGATATTTTGTTGTTTCTCCCACACCACCGAATGGAACAACCCCCTGTAGTTAGAGATATTATCTTTATTACAATAAATACAGAATATTTTTGGAATGTACGGAGACGTACACACAGGTCAGTTGTTGGCGCTGTACTATTTCAGCGTTCTAATTTGAGATTTCAGTGCAACCGAGAGTTGATATTTAAAAGTGATATAAGGCCCATTTGCCTGAAGAGTTGCCAGGGGTGGATGGACCTTATTTCGTTTCTATATACTCGATGAATTGAAATAACAAAGTAATAACGTTAAAACCTTCTCCTGTAAAACTTGGTTTTGTGTAGATACGAGCCTTCTACCAAAGCTACTTGCGCTGTTTTGCATTATCCTCGACGATATGTAGACATAACGTATCGTGAGCATGAATAAATGAGACCACATGATTCTGTATATAACTCTTCAACTATGGTAGACACGACGCCTTCTAGAAGTATAAATGTAACACGCATCGACACTACGATGGTGCGTACACAAGTTATACACGAATCATTAGATCCGTTCATTTAAAAGTCCGTCCAGTTATTCTAGATAATTATTGAAACTACTTCCAACGCCGATATTCCATTGTCCACGCGAAACCTTATCATGCAAATAACTACTCTCGTTAATCTGATATTAATGTATCTAACGATGATTAACGGTGTAACATGTCAAATACTCAGAGCCACTGTAATGGATTATGTTTAATACAGATTAAACACGACATCGACAACAACAATATACCTTCCTTAATAACGTTTTCGGCAAATTTATTATTATTATTTTTTAATTAATAGTAGTAGAGCCCCTTGTGAAAGAGTTCGTCCAGGGTAGTACCGCCACCTTCCTTATTTCTGCCGCCAAGCAGTAATGTGAGCATTACTGCATTACGGTTTGAAAGGGTGCTGGTGAAATTACAGGCACATGGGACTTGTCAACTTATGTCTCAGGGTGATAGGCGCAATGGCAGTTGGTGGCTCCTTTCTCTTGGTGGCTCCTTTCTCTTTGGTGGCTCCTTTCTCTGGTGGCTCCTTTCTCTTTGGTGGCTCCTTTCTCTGCCGTACGGTTGACAAATGGAACTCCCTTCCGGCACATGTCTTCCCTCCCTCTTATGATATGGGGTCCTTCAAACGAGGCGTGAAGAGACATATTGTAGGCAGGCAGGGTGGAGGTGGCTAGTGCAGTGAGGATTTCATCGCTGCACTAGGTTCCTTCGCGTTTGGATACCACTTTCCACTTAACATCGGGTGGAGTGGAGTCATTTGCCTGTCATGTATAAAAAAAAAAAAAAGTGGCGGTGCTCCACAGATCTTTATGAGGCGTGTAGCTTACCATCAGGTGCACGACTTTTTCGTCCCGCCACTTGATATTATATATAAAATAAAATATAACGACTTCCTTTACAAAATTGTGCTTGGTATTTTCAAAAGTGCACATGTCGAGTCTGCGTGATTTCACAGTAACCAATTGAATTTCAAACCGAATAACTTTAAATCGGAAGTTTTTGATGTGATATTGCATAAAATGTTACCAAGAAAATTGGGAGACTTGGCTAAGGCTTTTGAACGCCTTGCCTTGAGCTTACTCGGCTTTCTCGCACACATAAGCGAATACTTCACTTCTCACTGGGCTGATGAAGAGACGACGAAATCATTACTCTCAACTTTGCAACAGCTACCGGTTCTCAAGACTTTATCTTGCATATCAAAGCAAAGTAACTGGCTAGTGAATGAATTATGTACCGTCTAGCGATAAGGTCGTACTTCGCGAGTTAGAAAAAAGTTTAAATAAAATGTATTTTGATTATCTAATGCGACATTTATTGTT